AATTAACTAATAATTCAATTTCGATTTAAGCTAAAACCAAACGGTGGGCAACGCGTAAATTCATTTTAATAAGGTAAACTTTAAGCGGGGCCGCCAAATAAAGACGAACAAATAGTCTGTGTGTAGTTAGACCTTCATCGTATACTGATCCTATGGGTTTCTCGGCCGCCGTCTCCAACTCGCCACGCATTCTCCCGTCCAGCGCATTTGCTTCTGAGACGACGGCTAAAAGGAAGATCTGCTCGCTGCCTTCGCTCTGCCGCTCTCTTTCTCTCCTTCATGGCCAACCTCGCTTCAGGTACCTAGAAATGCAAACCGATCTCTTTATAACTACTTTCTAGTTCACTTGCTTTGTGATTAATTTCTGTGATTAAGTTGTTCATTTTTTTGTTTGGTTCCTGAGAAAGCTAGAGAAACTAGGAAAGTTAACGAGTTTTAAGTGTTTATTTCTAGTTCTCTTTTAAAATTTCTAGTCACTTTAATTTATTTTCATCTTATAATAAAAAATACGTGTTTTATGTTTCAGACTGAGTTCCGCTTCGCAGCTAGGGAAAAGGATTTCACCAACTATCCATGTTGCGGCTTCAGTTACAGGTTCTTCTTTTTATGTTCTATATGGCATACAATTGATTTGAGCATTGTTTGTTATATTTGTTATTAAAGAATAAATCTAATTCTTATGAAAAGAAAAAACATATTAATAGCATGGTTCTTGCATAAATTTTTTTTTTTTTTTGGATATTTGGTTATTAACATGGCAGCAAAGCCAAAGGGGACTTGGGGACTTAATTTTCGTTTAATTATCAATTTTCCTTGGTTTTGTTTCAACTTTGAGTTTGTTCATCCACTCCATTTTTTTAGTTAGTAGATGAAACTAAAAAATGGAATGGATGAACCAACTCAAAGTTGAAACAAAACCAAGGAATATTGGTAATTAAATCAAAATTAAGGGCTTAGTTAGTAGATGAAAGGCTTTATTTTCATGAAGTCTTGGTAGTTGAAGTGGTTTTGTCACTGGTGTAAAAGGCTTCCACACCATCATGGCAAGAGTTCAAACCTATGCTCCCCCTCCCCCACAGGCTTGAACCACTTGCTCTAGTACATTTAAAAAAAAGGTATTAAATCCCTAATTGGAAGATCGTGTAATTGTATAGGTTACAGATACATGGTTATATCCCTCTTTGTTTCATCTATTTTCATCCACGTGTTCTCATAGATATTTCAGTCTCGAAATCAATGGATGAAGTTCATCTTCCGAAAGGTGACATGTGGTCTGTTCATAAGTTTGGTGGCACCTGTGTGGGGACTTCCCAAAGGATCAAGAATGTTGCTGATATAATCATTAATGAGGATTCAGAAAGGAAGTTGGTGGTTGTGTCAGCAATGTCAAAGGTGACAGATATGATGTATGACCTGATCTTCAAGGCACAGTCACGAGACGATTCCTATGTATCTGCACTGGATGCTGTTCTAGAAAAGCACAGCTTAACAGCACACGATCTTCTTGATGGAGATGAGCTTGCTAGTTTTTTATCTTGCTTACGTAATGATGTTAATAACCTCAAGGCAATGCTACATGCAATATACATAGGTAACAAAATACTTTTTCATTCCTTTCTTTTCCTCCCTTTATCCACAGAGTTTGCAATTGTGTAAAATTGCAGCTTTTAATTTGGTATATACATGTTAGGGATTTTGCATGATCATCTAATGCTTCTTGTTCTTTTTTTTTTTTTTTTCCCAGCTGGTCATGCAACAGAATCTTTTACGGATTTTGTTGTTGGACATGGGGAGTTGTGGTCTGCACAGATGTTGTCATCTGTTATTAGAAAGGTATGTTGGTCATTTCATCACTATTATTACCTGCTATTGCAATGTTTGGAGGATTTATGAAGTATTATTAAATTGGATTTGGTGAAGAACGGGATTGACTGCAACTGGATGGATACAAGGGAAGTGCTCATTGTCAATCCTACTGGCTCTAATCAAGTTGATCCCGATTTCTTGGAATCTGAAAGAAGACTGGAAAAGTGGTTTTCACAAAATCCATCAAAGACTATAATAGCTACTGGTTTCATTGCCAGCACACCTCAAAATATTCCTACAACATTGAAGAGGGATGGAAGTGATTTTTCTGCAGCCATAATGGGTTCATTATTCAAGGCTCGTCAGGTCACAATTTGGACAGATGTTAATGGTGTATATAGTGCAGACCCCAGAAAAGGTTTGGTCTTTATCTTATTGGTCAAAATGTTATATTTTTAGTTTGAAACATTCTCAATTTTGTATTGTCTTTAGGGAGTTCTTTAGATCTTTGAAGATATCTTATTTACAGTTTTTGTATTTTTTAAACACTGCCTGTTTGTGTTTCATATATATGGTTCAAAACACTGCCTTTTATGTGGGATCTATTAAAATCACTTAATATCTTGTTTAGAACTGCAAAACCTTGAGTCTTTGCTGTAATGCTAAAGATTAATGTTTTCTGCAGTTAGTGAAGCTGTGATACTAAGGACATTGTCTTATCAAGAGGCCTGGGAAATGGTAGACTTCAGTTGTCCTATTGTGCCTGTCAAAGTTTGGAATTTGCTAATTGGAATTGTCTAACATGTGTTCATTTGACCATGCAGTCATATTTTGGAGCAAATGTTTTACATCCACGTACCATTATTCCAGTAATGCAACATAAGATTCCAATTGCAATAAGGAATATCTTCAACCTCTCTGATCCTGGGACAACAATCTGCCATCCTCTTGTGACTGAAGATGAAGATGATCAGACACTAGACTCTCCTGTTAAAGGATTTGCAACAATAGACAATTTGGCTCTTGTAAATGTCGAGGGGTGAGTCTTGTCTTCTGTTACAATTTCTACCACATTCAATTCCTTTTTAGTTCCAATTTGTTGTTGCTGTTTTCTTTGAGTTGTATATGCCATTTGTTTATTTCCTTTTTTCAGAACTGGAATGGCTGGTGTTCCTGGCACAGCTAGTGCCATTTTTGGTGCTGTGAAAGATGTGGGAGCTAATGTCATTATGATATCCCAGGTGCAACCATTGTCTGATTTCAGTAATTGGTCTTCGTATTGTATGTATAGATTGCTCACTACTAAAACTTTTTGCAGGCTAGTAGTGAACATTCTGTGTGCTTTGCTGTGCCTGAGAAGGAAGTAAATGCAGTTGCTGAAGCTTTACAATCTAGATTTCAGCAGGCTTTGGATGCTGGGAGACTTTCTCAGGTGCTGTTCATTGTTTTAATCCCTCTGGAATTACTTGCCTGACAAGTATGAAATACCATTATAATTTAGTTGCCTGATTAAGGAATATGGATTTCTTTGATTTCTCAGAAAATTTATGGGAATGACTGTAGTGGTAAAACTGTTAGACTAACTTCCTAGTTCCTTCTCTTACTTCTCTCTATTGAAGTAAAATAAAAATATAACCTGCCATGCACAGTGGAAGAGAGCTTACTTCAGCTTCAAAATTTCGTGACCAGCTTCATATTATTGTGCTGATATTTATTAGGAAGCAAAAAAAAAAAAAAAATCAAGAATATTATCTTAGGACTTGAATAGAGTTAGCTTCTAGAAAAAATTCTTTTCTATCCTCTTGCTTTTAATACTGCATGACACTCATCCTAATTTTTCTGTATTGATTCTTTGAATGGTTTAAAACCTTGTCAAAGCAAAATGCCAATATGAGATATATCAAACCTATATTTAGAATGGAAAAAGGAATAGAATGGAAAAAGGAATACGACATAAAAACAAACAAACAAACAAACATACAACAAATGAGAATCTTGCTGAGAGTGTATGTGATTTTGCATTTGGAGCATGTCCAAGGGCAATGGTGATGGAAATGATGGAGAAATTTCACTATTAGGCCTTAAGATGATAGTTACTTTTCATCTCTTTCCTTTTTTTTAATGGAAACTATCATGGTCTAGTTAGTAGGCTGGATTTTCTCAACCAAAAATGATCATCTCAGGTTGCGGTCATTCCTAACTGCAGTATTTTGGCAGCAGTTGGCCAGAAAATGGCTAGTACTCCTGGAGTAAGTGCGACCCTTTTCAATGCTTTGGCAAAGGTAAGACAGTTTGTCTGATTATTTCAAATGAGTGTTGCTTCTTCTTTCTTCTTCTTCTTTTTTTTTTTTTTTGTTAATTGAGGTTTACCCAGTCTTTACATATTTTCCCCCTTAACTAATTATATTCTCTTTGTTTGTTCTATATTTGAATTTTACAATACAGGCTAATATTAACATTCGAGCTATAGCTCAAGGTTGCTCTGAGTATAATATTACAGTTGTTGTCAAGCGTGAAGATTGCATAAAGGCTTTGAGAGCTGTCCATTCGAGGTTTTATCTTTCAAGAACCACCATAGCTATGGGGATAATTGGTCCTGGATTAATTGGTGGCACTTTACTTGATCAGCTCAGAGATCAGGTGCATTATGAGATAGACTACATCTATTTGTTGTTTTCTACTGTATTTTACTGTCGGCAGAAAGGCAATAGGCATGCAAATGTTTGCTCAGAAGTGCAAGTTAAAACTTGATTTTTACTAAATGAAGCTGATTGCCTTTGATACTACAACCTTAGCAAGTTTTAAAATTTCTTTGGGCAGGCAGCAGTCCTCAAGGACGAATTTAACATTGATTTGCGTGTTATGGGGATCACTGGCTCGAGGATAATGCTCTTAAGTGAAGTGTAAGTTAATAACTTTATAGAAATAGCACCACCTCTATGATATCATGTGCCAGGGAAACTTGTCTAGATAAGCATGTCTGCCTTTGTTTTCATGTTGAGAACATACAAGAAACAAAGACATTAAATTTTTTAAGTTTTGACCAAGAACAAACATATAAAAAAGGGGTTAGAATTTATAAGTTCTCTGAAGAACATATTTTGTTTTGTTGATCCCTTGAGGTTGTATGACAGGCTTGGAGGCCCCTTCCTCCATTTATTCAATGGATTTGGCTGCCTTGTAAAATGTGCCAGTACTGACTAGTTGATGAATATGCTTTTTCCTGACATATATTTTCATAACACTTAGATTTTTTCCTTTTTGGTAGGGGAATTGATTTATCACAATGGAGAGAACTTCTAAAGGAGAAAGGAGAAGTAGCCAATCTGGAAAAGTTCACCCAACATGTGCATGGAAATCATTTTATTCCGAACACTGTTTTGGTGGATTGTACAGCAGATTCTCATGTCGCAAGTTATTACCATGATTGGTTGCGAAAAGGAATTCATGTTATCACTCCAAACAAAAAAGCAAATTCTGGTCCCCTTGATCAGGTATATTTGTTGCTGCTCTCTACTGCTTGCACTTTATTTGACTGAACTTCCTTTTCAGCATAATTGATGGGATTTCTCTCTGGCGTATATATAGTACCTAAAGCTAAGAGCTCTTCAGCGAAAGTCTTATACGCATTACTTCTATGAAGCAACTGTTGGAGCTGGTCTTCCAATAGTGAGCACTTTACGAGGACTTCTAGAAACTGGGGATAAAATATTGCGCATTGAGGGAATTTTCAGGTCAATCATGATTGCTATTTGCAAGAAAATGATATAAAGTATGCTTGATGTTGGTTTTCTCCATATTGTATCCTATAAAATAAGGCCATGACTTGTGATTTGCTGGTGCAGTGGTACTTTGAGTTACATTTTCAACAGCTTCATTGGGAGTAGATCTTTCAGTGAGGTGGTAGCAGAGGCAAAGGAGGCAGGTTATACTGAACCTGACCCTAGAGATGATCTCTCTGGAATGGATGTTGCCAGAAAGGTTGGTTATTTCTTTTCCATTTTACCTTTTTGGGTCAAATTTTTTATTTTACTTAAGTAGGAAATTAAGTTAATAATGTTAAATAAGTCTTCTGTTACATGTGGCCAATTACCAAACAGTGAGTTAAAGAGTTTTTTAGTAAAGTATTTTTTGAGTTGCCATTGGCAGGACTGCGTTGGAGACTCGGCTTTCTCATCTATGGAGAATTTAGGTAGTCTTCAAATGTTTTTTCTTCATTTGTACTGCTCTTGTCCTCTATATACCTTAGTGAGATTAGGAAGCTCTCCCTGGCTGTCACTATTTACAGCGAATGTGGTCTGTAGAATGATTAAAAATTTTATCATCTAGTAAAAGCATGCATGATGGCTTTGATTACCATTTCTTGCAAATTTTATATTTGTGCATGTTCCCAGGTTCAATGCAGTAAGCTAAGATTTGGCATGAAAACCTGCTTTGATTCTGCAGGTCATTATTCTTGCTAGAGAATCTGGTTTGAAATTGGAACTTTCAGATATCCCTGTTCAAAGTCTGGTTCCAGAACCACTAAAAGTAAGAATGAATACTCATCTGTCAGACAAATAGTAAGCTCAAAAATCAAGTTTATCTATAATATCTTATTATGTTCTTATTATCTTCAGGCTAGTGCATCTGCTGAAGAATTTATGAGGCAGTTACCACTATTTGACCATGATTGGACTAAGGAGAGAAAGGAAGCAGAGGAAGCAGGGGAAGTAAGTCTGTTTTTGTGGTTTATTTTACTCCCAGTAGTAGAGCAATAAATTTCTGATTGCATGGCTAAACTGTTCCACTATAATAATGATCTTTTACCAGTTGACTCTGGTTAGTATTCTGAAAATTAGACATAAATTTGTGCTTATATGGACATATGAGAAATGGATGGCGGATGGCTCTGTATTGAGAATTGAAGAATGTAATCCCATACGAGAGCTGATTGTGTATGCTGTTAGCCCTGCTGGCCCTGCTTTGCAGTAAATTTAATAAAATGAGAAAGAAGGTTGTATGCTGGTAATAATGAAGAAATCAGGTTTATTGGGATGTTAGTGGCTAATATATCCTCCTAGGAAATTAAGCCAAATGCAAAGACTAGATGGGTAAAGGTATTTGGGTAATTTTCTACTAGGATGAGATAATCCGTAATCCTAAAACAAAGATAATCATTAAAATTACCAGCTTTTTACATGATTAATTGCAAGTAGTGTGTCAGTTTTGTCACAGCTTAATTTTGGGTACTAGCTATGTTACTCCTATTTTTTTCCGTCAGGTCTTGAGATACGTTGGTGTGGTGGATGCTGTCAACCAGAAGGGGAATGTGCAGTTGCGAAGATACAAGAAAGAGCACCCCTTTGCACAGCTCTCAGGTTCTGATAATATCATAGCATTCACAACTAAAAGGTACGAGAAGCAACCTCTGATAGTCCGTGGACCTGGTGCTGGCGCTCAGGTAACTGCTGGTGGAATATTCAGTGATATATTGCGCCTGGCTTCATACCTTGGAGCCCCATCTTAAAGATTCTGAACTTCTCCAGCTATGCTCCAATCGCTTCTTCTTTTGACCTTCTGAGCCTCAGTCCTCTAAGTTTTTGTTAGCTGCGTGGTAGAGGTAGCCCTTGATATGTGGTTATGTATCGTAGTTTCTTTCGGGACTGAATGGTGACAATTAGTTTTACTGCTTTGTTTTTCATCAATCTAGGCTTTCTCTTTCAAGAGTAATAGTGTTTACTAAAGTCTAGCGAAACCATCCAGTAAGAGAGAGGATATGGATTAAGTGGCTATTTGACATATGGCACTTCCTCGTCCTCTTCATCTTATGTCCTTTTGCAATAGTTGACTAGTGTGAATACTGTGGCTAGTTACTTAGAATTTGTGAAGATTTTCATCTAATAATAGTTGCATATATTTTGCCATGGTTTATTGTAGTGTTGATTACCTTGATTTATGTGCATGATACATATCTGTAATTATAACTTTGTTTTGTTGTTTTTGGGTCATTTGACTTTACAATCCTCTTTTTGGTTATAGTTTTCAGTTCTGAATTATCAAATCATTCGAATTTGATGTTCATGTTTTGGCCCGGTGACTTGGACCTTGGTGAGTAAAATCACTTCTTATGAGTTGCATCTTTGAATCTCATAGGTACCTTTTTCTCAATTTTTATTTACTTAAGAATTCACTAATTTATTTTCGTTAAAAAAAATTTATTTGAATTTTACTCCGAGTGGTTCGTGAGAAGGTTCAAAAATCACTGAGCATGAATTTCAATGTTAAAAGTTACATGGAAACCTACGGCGAATTTGCAGACAACCATCTCGATTGAATTTTTGGTGACTATTCTATAAATTCCAAGAATCAAATTAACGCTAAAAAAATTTCTCCCTCAAATGATTTTGGGACTCAAATAAAACTTTGGATCTCTGAAAAATCGAGTAATCGTTTCAGCCTTGTCAGCAGAAAGGTCTGTGCTTTCTAGAATGTCTTCCTTTGATGCTTTACCAATGGCCTCAATTGAACCAATGGCTTGATTTAACTGAGAAAATAAAAAAGCAGCTGTTATTTCTTCCTGAAAACCTGATTGCACCATCTATGTTCTACGCCCAATGTAGAAGTGGATCTATATTATCAAGAAATGCAAGAACCAACTTGGTAGAATTAGAATGCATTCGGAGTATTCTGTAAATATCGGAAAATGTAGAATGCATAATGCAGATCAGGTGCAGTTTAGTTTTCATTTCTTCATTAAGATCTCTAACACATGAATGCATGCAAGACAAAATTCTGAGAGAGTCTAAATTCGTGCTGAACTTCGCTGGAGACAAGCCCTCTCTCCAACCAAATTTAAGGAGGGCCAATGAATTTGGCTGGGAAATGCATGATTCTAAAATTAAGTGAAAGGGGGAATGATAAAAAAAGAGGATAAATTGCAGCTCTCACTTGCGTTAAGGTGAAGAGGAATACCGTATTTGCATCATGGTTATCAATGCCTGGTATAGAAGTGACCACTCTAAGGAAGTTATCCATCCCCTGCACTGATTGCTTCCTCTTTACACGCAAGGAAAGAACAATTGAAATAAATGATCACAAGAAACTTATGCAATAAACAATAAATCAATACCAAAGCAGGATAAGATCTTTTGACCAACTAACCTCATTCTTGAATTTTGATTTGGCCTCATGTTGTTTGCAAACTGCAGTTACATAGTAGTTTAATAGAATGCTTGAGACAAATCATTCAAGTAAATATGAGAGACTATAAGGGACTTTTACCCCCACAAGAATGAGCTATCTTAACAATCTTCTCAAATCCCATCTCCAAGTCTTGAACTGGCACAAATGGTGGTCTTCCTAGCTCCATTGCGTACCTTCATAGATCCAAAAATGCTAATGGGGTTTCTAAAGAAACATAGTTCTGAAATAAGAAGAAAACAAGGATTGGTTTGACATGTATTACTCAAAGTAAGCGTGAACAAAAGAATCATTTTGCTCCCTGGTTGGAAGGGTGACAACCACATAAAGATTAGCAAACATCCCCTTGAGTTTCTTTGCTCTGCAAGACTTGAATCAAATCAATCAGAAGACTGACCAAGAAACTTGAATCTGAAATTCTGAATGGGCTACCATATTACCTTCCGAAAACAGGTGCTACATTATGAGAGTCCCATTTAGTCACAAAAATAAATGCCACGGACAAGCCCCCACAATTGAAAATAAAGTCCTAAAGACACAAATCCATCTAAAAGTTGAGAGACTAGAAATTTAAAAATTGATCAATGAACAAGGGAGAGCATAAGTAGGCAGATGATACAGGGGCAATTGGGACAAAGTTTAGCCTGAAAGAATTTGCAGTGAGGAAGGAGGAGATGAAATTGATGAAAGATGGGTGTTGTTCATCTCTCCATGTGTTGCTCATCATACAAACTCCTGCACAAACCGCAATGACTAAACATCATGAGTCCTCGATTCAACTACAACATCTCCACAATGATGTACAAAGCAATAGGAAAAGTGGTCGTTGCACAAACGTTTGACCTAGATTGTGTTGTTCTTCAAGAAGCCTATGCAGATTTTACCTGTGAGATTGACATTCAATCTCCCCTTCATTGAAGCTCATTCCAGCATGTATTTCAAACACAATAGATCACATTGTTCAATACCATGTAAAATTCGATAAAACATAGACATCAAAAGGCTCAGAATGTGATTCGATCCTTTGTGTCGTTTGTTTGGCAGGGAAAATGCATTTATTTATTTATTTGCCAAACAAATCGATTAATAATCCAAATTCGAAGCTCTAAAAAAGTCAATCGAGTTACTCCAAAGTCGAACAACTATTCGTTCGTCGATTTTATGCTTCAATATGGAAATTGTTATGCAGAATTCAAGAACACGAAAAACTGCAAATAAAAATAAATAAAAGTGAACTCCACTAATCTGTCAGGAAATTAAACCAGATTTCTTGTTTACATCATTAAATCTCGAGTATATTTAGAAGAATTCTTTTCGATTTCTCGAATAAGAAGCGAAAAGGTAAGGATTTGATCGGCAGCTGAGAAAATGAGGGAGAAGAGGAGAAACGATTCCAGAATTTGGTAGCCAACAGAACATACGCGAAATTGGATTGGACGGAATTGTGTACCTGACATTTTAACCGTAGAAGATGGATTTTGAACCTGAGTGTAGGTTGATCTCGAGTCCGCCATTGGCAAAGCGTTAACGAAGAAAAATAGAGAAATTTTTGTAAAGAAAAGGAGAAAGGTTTGGCGGGAATTCTAGAGCTTTCGCGTGGAAATAAAGGGCAAAAGGTACCCGTTTGCCCTTAAAGATTTCGAATTTGAGGCATTTTACCCCTTATATTTCAATATATGAATTTTTACCCTTCATGATTTCTAATTTGGGGAAATGAGACAAAATTTAACGCCAAACAATCATGTGCTACACATGCATCGTTATTTCCGTTATAGATTTACATGTCAGCGCCAAATTAGATATTTTTTAACATGTCAGCAAGTTCAACTTGGACCCTTTCCAACAAAATTTTTTTTTT